AATACTTGAAAGATTGAAAATATCCGCGTAATACTTCAAATTGATTTCCCGGGTACAGAAAGAGATTTGCAACAATATCTCCTTCATAAGCGGAAGCCAACTAAAACATTGTACAAAATGATCAACTTGAGTAAACAAGAAAAGTTAACCAGATGAAAAGGATTCCAAAAGTTGGTTTTTGTGTTTCTGGAACATCCAAACTTAGAGTTTTTAGAAAAGAATAAGGTTGACCTTTTCATTTATCACTCTCTTTCTATTTAGTTCTATTATATGGTTGTAGAGCCTATCATGCGCAACAACAGCGGTCAAGTTGAACACTTTGAGTAAGTAAAAACTAGCTGGAACTATTGTTTTGGCACCAAATTTTTCGGCTAAACCTCTTGCTGTTGAGTATTTGAACATTTTATTGCCCATGCGTCCTGAAAGCATGTTAAGTTTAAAGATTTTCGAAAGAAAAACTGCATTAGTTAAATTCTTACCTTTTTTGTAATCAACTATAAGATATCGCTTCTCCTGACGCATAAGTTCAATGATTGTACGTACAACATTTTTCTCATATGAGTTTGATGACGTTTCTGTAGCACGCCTTCGTTTATTCAAGGGAATCAACTTGTATGGAAACAAAACTGAAAACTAAAGAAATCTTCTTATTTAAAACACATCAAAATCTTATCCACTACAACCTGTTCCTTTTTCACTGGTGAGGAAACTTTTTTTGCAGTATAGTAAGCAGCCATACAAGATAAGTGTCAAAAGGCTTAAAAAGGCTCCACGCATCGGTGATTGACGACTTTTTAGGAGATTTCGAAGACCAGTTGCCATTCAAGAGGTCAAAATTTTTCAGAATTACTGCCGAAAGCGGCTAGTTTGCAAACACGCTTAAAGATTATTGAACTGAAAGATTTTTTACGATTCACGCTTTTTACTTGGCATATTTATTTCTTTGAGACCAGTTTTCACACTAATGATTTGCAATTCTGAATAAATTTTCTAGTAGGCGCACATTTAGATATATTACTAATCGTGATTTTAATCTGAAATACTCATATCATTATAAATCAACCCAAAAAAAATCGTGACACATTCTATTTTGACACTCTAGCAAAATACATACTGCAGTTGTGTGAAATAATGGTGCACTTAGTCGCTATAACTAAGTAGGTAATTGATAGTGTAACTAATGGATGTAAAATAGGGAGCTTCAAAAGAATCACACAGAGTTTGCTCAAGTTCTTCACTGTATGTTTCTAGAGTGGCGTCAAGCAATTTAACTGATGTAATCTTCCTCTAATCTTCGTAGTCCTGTTAGTGGTTACTGGTGCACTATTTCCAGTAGCTCATATAAAGTTTTCAATACTTTAGAACCAAGTAAAACTTCTGGGAAGCGTAAAATCGACGATCGGCTTATGTCTTTTGGACAGGATTTCTGTCCCTGTCCTGGCCCGCTACCATTTCAACAGTCTGCTGTTTCATAAGCGTTGACATC